CGCCCGCGCGGGGCGCGCCGCGCGGCGCCGCCGCGAACGCGAGCGCGGCCGCGTGTGCGCCGCCGCCGACCGCCGGCTGGACCTCCTCGTGCGCCACCGCGCCCTGCACACCGCTGACAGACGTGTACACCTGGCCGTCCGGCCCGCGCTGCGTGACGCGGTGCTGCGTCACGTTGTTGCGGCGGCGGTAGGTCGCGTTGACCGCCACGGGCACCCCAGAGTCTGCAAACTCGAGCTGCGGGCCGCCGCCGGCCCAGAAGCCCTCCGGGAAGAAGCCCTCCTGGATCCATTCGCGGAGGCCAAACAGGCCCTCCTGCGGCCTGCGCGGTGAGGGCGAGCGCGCGGAGCGTGTCGGGAGCCGGGGATCAGGTTCAAGGGCGCGGCCAGGGGGGCATGGCGTGCATATACCGCTCAAAAGCGTTGGCCGTGTGCCAAAACGCTGCACTTCACACACACACACACACACACACACACACACACACACACACACACACACACACACACACACACACACACACACACAGGCACACACCCACCCACACCCACACACACACGCACATACTTACTTGCAAACGTGCGCGGACGCGAACACTCCACCCTTGACCACCACAGGATGAGCTAACAATCGTCACAAGCAATTGCACGTACACAACCACACGTGCGCGTGCAATCACGTGTGTACACAGCGCGCGCGCACGCGCGCGTCGCGCGCGCACCGCGTGAAGATGGAAGTGCCGTGTTTCCTCTTGACATCAGTGTACAGCGCAGACGCCATGGTGGCCTCGGGGGTCTTTCCCTGCGCCTTCAGGAAGCCGCGCTGAAGTGCAAGCCTGGGGATACGCGGACACAGAGGGACCGGCGGCGGCGGTCAAACGCGCGCTACTGTGGCGCGTGCTCGCCGCGCTGTGAACGCCGCAGGCAGCCGAGCGAATGCGACGAGGTTTCCGCGCGCAGTCGCCTCACTTGGTGATCTCTCCGGTTGTCATGAGGCGCCGGTCCATGCGCAGAACCTCGATGGCGGCGCTCTTGAAGATGCCCCCCGCGCCCGGCACGGCGGTCCCCGCGGGACCCAGCGTTGAGCGCCCAGCTTTGGCCTGCTGACCACGGGGGAAGGGCACAAGGGTGAGCGTGTGCATGCGCCGTGCCCAGGCGGCGTTATGCTGCACTCAGCTGAGTGCAAAAGTTGCATGTGCAGATGGCCAGCGGGGGGCGATCGGACAGACGAGCGCGCATGTGCTTGTATGCACTGCGGCCAAGCTCAGGGGCCTGCTGCTGTGGCGGGCTCCGTCGGCCACGGCGCTGCCCTGGCACGCAGGTGCTCCCGAGGCCTTTCCCGATCTAGACACCATGCCGAACGGCTCAGCAAAAGAAGCCAGTCGAGGGCGACATGCGCTGGTCCACGCTTGCGTTCCGCGGGTCGTGGCATCATGTCCCAGGCTGCCGCGCACGGCTCGTCTGGCACATGGCTACATATCAATACCGCCAGGCACACGCGAGCCGCGGGCTGGTACCTACCGGCGCCTGTGGCGCGGGCGATGCCTCCCCATCAGTTCCAGAACCCCCAGCCCGCCTCTTGGGCATCTTTTGAAGTTCTCAAGTCTATCAGGGCAACTCTGCACCCTCACGCGCGCTGTCAGGCCGGGTCAAGCGTGCTTCGCCTTTTGGGGCAGCACGCGGGAGTGTGGACGTTGAGCGTTCATATATTTGAGAAGTATGTGCGGAGATTTTTTGCATAGACAAGTGGCTACCGCACGACTAACTGTGCTGCTGCTGCGAGCAGCTACAAACACCGAAGTGGGCTCCCCAAGGCTCGCAGCAATGCGATTCCCATACAATCAATTTTGCAGCAGAATCTTTACCTGCGATCATGTCGTACACCTCCCCCCCGTGCTGCCGGCCATCACGTTTGACGCATGTCTCGAACTGGATGGGGATCCACCCCGCGGGCTTGCACACAGGTGTACTGCGGTCCAGCGCAGTCACATAGAACGTTGTACGGGATGTATATGAGCGGGCAGGGCTCTCAGAGCCTGCGTGCCCTTGCTTGCCGCGCTGCAGGCCATGCTGTGGCTGCAGCTAGAGTTGACGCCAGAGTTGACGCCAGGTGGACCTGACGACACAACCTTTGCAGCCATCTTCAGTTTGAGGAAAACTTTGATGCAGGCCAAACTTGATCATTACAAGCCCAAACCTGACTCAAGCGGCTGGGCTTGGCCTCCGTAGGCATGTGGTGTGCGACTCTTGATCACTGGATGGTTCCAGGCAGGGCTGTATAGATTGTGGTGCCCCTCACAACTGACTGACGCAGGCAACATCGGCACTTGCCATGTTATGAACATGATCATGGCAATGACCGGCTGCCACAAATGCTCTAAGCAAGATGAAGGGACAATATGCAGGAAGGACTGACTCAGGGGCAGGGCAGCACACGCCTCATCAGCACTGGTCAGCCAGCCCATGTCCAGCTCTTGACTTCGCCTGCGATGTCGGGAAACACCATGTGGGATGAAAAGAATATGAGCGGCAGGCTGCCATGATCAACGAGGCAACCCTGCAGAAGGGATACAGATGTTCGGTCGGCTGCAAGGGCCATCACAGGTGCATGGCAATGTGCCGTCCCCGCTGGCTCAGAGCGCAGCGCCGCATGTTCTTGGGGCCATTGCACATCCTGTGCGCGCTCACCGCTGGAATGCGCCGAAACTAGCACGTCTCCGCTGCCCCAGGCAACCGCGACCACCTCGTCGGAGGGCGAGGGGTCCAGCGCCGCGGGCCCACAGAGCGATGGCATGCCCTCCTCCATGCCCTGCACATGCAGCAGGGAGCGTGCGATTGCAAAACTGGCTGAGGGTGGCGACACACCACTGCCTGTGTTTGTGTCGAGCCCAATAATTGCAACACCATCTCTCAAGGCCCGGCTGTTTCAGTAGTCCTCAGAAGCACGAGTCGAGCACGCGAGCAGCACCAGCCACGTCAGATTCATCTTGTAGCATGTCAGCGTCATCAGAAGGAATGGCTGACCCCCGACCAAAAGACTCACGTCCGCCGCGTTGTAGGATTCATACAGGATCAGCCGTCCGTCGCGCCCGCCAGTTACCAGGACACCCGGTCGCGACGGGTGCCAAGCCTGTGCGCACAGATGGGGTTGCCACACATCACAGTTCAAGCGAGGGGCCGGGCTCGTGACTATGACGGGACAGATGCCCGTGCATCAGCTCAAGGCAGCCAAATGTGCAGTCAACTTCTCTCCCTCGATGAACAAAGCTGCGGGCGCCAGAAGGGCCCCAGCATGCTTCAGGGCGCAGCGCCCACCTGGCACTGCACCGGCTTAGTGTGGCCCAGCGTGATGATGGGCGCGCTGCCCGATGGCCCTGCGCCGCCAAAGTTCCAGATAAGGCAGGTGTTGCCGCCGCTGCTGGCCATCAGGGGGTCGCCGTCTGGCGCCACCCCAAAGTCGACGCGCAGGACCTGGTTGTAGTGGATGGGTTTCACAGCGGGTCGACGCAAGGGTGGGTCGGGATGAAATTCTTGGCGACTTCGTGTCAAATGAGGTGGGTGACAAACTAGCGTCAGTCCCAAGCATTGGGCTATCCCTGCACACAGTCCACACACCAGTTGGGAAGGGCGTGCACGACACAATTGGCTCGCATACAACGTGTGCAGCAAAGCAGCACTGTGGCCAGCACGCGCGCATGCAGTGCCCTTGGTAACCAACCGCACGCAGTCGCCGGCTGAGTTGTCACAAGCCCACCTTTCCGGAATACCCGCCGCAGGTGAGCTCCACCATTTCCAATGTGGTGCCATCAGGCCCCTGCAAAACCGTCACTGGAACCCCCGCCTCTTCCTCATATTCATCCTCTTCTTCTTCGACGTCATTGTCCCCCTCCTCGCCCTCGCCAGCCACCCCTGCCTCCGCCACAGCGCCCTCAACGGCCTCTGCCACAGGCCCAGCGGTCGCGTCGGACGGCCCCCGCTCAGCGCCTCTGCTGCTGCCGCCCGGCTCGTCCACACCCGCTCGATCACTAAGCTCAGCCGCTTCAGGCGCTGGCGCCACACCGCCCGGCCCTGTGGCCTCGCTGATGGAAGGACCTCCTCCCGCTTGCTTCTCCAAATGCCAAATGTGGACCTGCACCGAGTTGAATGAAAAAGGGGCGAGAGTCGGGAGTAGCAGGCTTGCGTGTGTGCAGCCGATGCTGACGGGGCAGGCAGGCAGGCGGGCCACCCTGGAGAACCGGCGAGCTGGCCGCGGGCCGCCGGGGCCGATCGCAAACGTTGTGCATCCAGGGCTGCGGCAAGCGGGCCACCCTGGCGGGCTCAGGCCGCCGCCGCCCGGGCGCTGCAAAAACGGGGGCTGGCCCAATGGGGGATACATGCGAGCCCAGGCGGCGGGTGCGCGGGCTTGCGCTGGCCGCAGCGGCGTGAATGGGGCTGGGGCTAGGGCGCACCGTGGCGTCCATGCAGCCGCCGACGATCCACCGCAGGTCTGGCGTCGCGGACGCCGAGAGGATGTTGGCCTGGAGTGGTGCATGTGTGTGTGTGTGTGTGTGCGCGCAGGCTGGGCCATGCCAATGCTGTGACGAGTGGTTCGAGAAGGGTACTTGCTGCGTTGGGGCGATGCAGCGGTCCAGCGAGGCGCAACAAACACTCGACAGAGCGCGCCCCGCACAGCAGCCCTGGCGAGACGCGATGGTAGCGCGGGCGCCTGCAACAAGCAGGCGCCTTGGGCGGCGGCGGCGCGGCGCCGGCCGTGCGGGCGGCGCTTGATGCGGCTCACCCCGTGCTCCAATACCAGGCCTTTGACCCCCACGTCTGTCCCGAACAGGGCGACCCCGCCGTAGAAGGCGGCCAGCAGCTGCCCGCTCCCCAAGAACCGCAGGTCGTTGACCACGCCGCCCGCCACTGGGGGGAAGACGCGCCTGCCGCGAGAGCAGTCGACAGCACCACGTCAGGCGCCTTGCAAGGCCCCGCGCCTGCTCTTCAGGGGTGCCTTGCTGCGGCTTGCCTGCTGTCCTCTCACACCACGAGAAGGCCGAGGGAGAAGGGCCAGCCTCAGGAATACAGACTCTAATCAAGCAAGGTTGGCGACGGCGCGCACCTCACTGACGTTGTCCCTGTCTCTCTGAGACCCCCACTTGAACCCACCTTGTTGCCTCTACATCTTCTGCACCCGGCTCAAAGAGGTGGATGCTCTTGCCGGCTGCGCAGGCGGCCAGGGCACCGTCGGGGCTGACGGCGACGCAGCTCACTGTATGGCCGTCTGGCGTCCTGAGGGGCGTTTGCGCGATAGCATGGGCGGATGCACGGGTTGCACAAACACCACAGCTGCTCCGCCCCTTTTCATGTCTGTGCAACCTGGCATGCCCATGCTCCCATCCTCACCATCCCAAGGTGAGGCCTCTCACTCGCATACACGACTGCGATAGGAAGGTCGAGCCCTCCACATGCAAGCAGCGGCAGCCGGCCTCCCCTCCCACTGAAAAGTGCCGCAAAGTGTCGCTGGACCCACCTATCCGCGTCCACACCCTCGCAGGCCAGCCGCGCTTTGAGCGTCCGCCCGTCGCAGCGCCACACCGCCGCGCAGCCGTCCTCGCCGGCCGAGACGAGCAGCTGCCCGCCAGCTGCAAATGCGAGGGCCGTGCTGCCGCCTGGGTGGCCCTCCAGCTTCCCGATCAAGTTCATGTCTAGGTCTAAAAGTTCAATCTCTTCCTCATAAGAGCCAGCTGCAATCAAGTCGCCGACGGGCGCCGTGGCGAGGCAAGTTGCCTGCTCGGCGAGGGTGTGAGTGCCTCTGGCCACGAGAGGCACAGGCTGGATCCGCATGAACTGGGCAATTTCCTGGATATTTTGCAAGGCGAGCGGTTTGCAAGCTGGGTTAGGGGGCGGATGACATACCGTGTGGGGTGGTGCGCGCATGGGCATCTGCTGCCAGGGTTCGATTGTGCTGTGGCACACAGGGGCACTGGACCGCGACACAATGCACTTGCAGAAACTCCATGCAGCGTGGCGCTGTTGCACATTGCAGCACGGCGCAATCGCACCGGATCCATGGCAGGAACATCCATGGTCGCGTGCAGGGCCTCGCCCTTTCACAAAGCAAGCGGTCCTGAGACTGCAGATCACTGTTGCAGGGTGATTATACAAGTAGGCGATATTGAGGGTGTACAAATCCACAACCCAGAGCATACAATATGATATGGGCAGAAGGGTCGGCGGTGTGCCTTTGAAAGTGACACCCTACTAACGGCCCGCTGCCGGTATGGGGGCATTTATATGAAGTTTATGCTGGACCATAGACATTGAAAAAATAATTAGACACCTTTGAGAGCTTTTAGATCGTGATCACCGGAAAGTCAGTTGCGGTGTTTCATGGGCTACATACCATCAAGTTATCTGGAGGACACGTTTGTAGAGCAACACCGGCGTGTGCGCCGTCTGCGTGCCTGAGAACTCGGCGCTTTCGCGTGTCCTGTGCAGCGGTGGGGCGGCGCGCGTACAGTGCTCCAAGGCTCCATCCCATCGATCGCAGCCCTTTGCGCCTAGCAGCAGCCGCGACGCCAGGGCTGCGGCAGCGGCATCGGCAGCGGCAGCGGCAGCGGGGGCACGGTGTCGTCCCAGCTTGATTAATATCTTGGAGGCGGCACCATGGGCAACAAGAAGAAGAAAAAGAAGGCGGCCGCGGTCGGGGGTGCGCTCGCGCCTCGAAAGCGCTGACACTTACCAGCTGCAGATCATCCAGTACTGCTGCCGAACAGCACGGCCGGATCACTGTGTGGGCCGGCTCAGTCGCCATTCTTACAGCATGGACCCCTGGGCCCCGTCCCATGCGTGCGCATGACTGCTGCAACGCAGGGCCACCCCCTGAGGTGAAGCAGGAAATTGCGGAGGAAATCCTGGCGCTTGAGGCAATCTATGGGGAAGACTTCCAACTGGACGCTGACGGCGTCGGCTTTGCGCTGCGCGTGGTGCCGCACCCGGGGGACGCGCAGGCTGGGTTCACGTCAGTCACGCTGCATGTCCGGTGCGCAGTGATGGGCGAACGTCAGGAGGCTGCAACAAGAGAAGCGCAGACGCTATCGATCAGCTTTGCACCGGCTTTGACGGCAGCCTGGCAAAATGGATGGCTCCCCGAGTATGCCGCTTCAAAATCAAACCCACGTCACGCCGTGCCGGGCCCGGTGCGCTGTGCAGTCGTTGCCTTGACCCTTCACTCCGAGCCCAGGCTTGCTGCGTCGAGCGCCACGCCGCGCCACAATTCATCCCCCTCTGCCGCAGCTACTCAGCTGGTTACCCATGCCAGCCGCTGCAGCTGCGGCTGCGGGACCCCCAGGGCCTCCTGCCAGAGGATGTGCGTGCCTTGTCAGCTTCCGTCGCCGACAGCGCGGCCGCCTATGCGAAGCAGGAGGCGATCTGCGTTTTTAACCTAGTGGATGAGTGCCAGGAGTTCCTGAGGTCGCGCAACGCGGAGGCGGCGCGGCGCGCGGAAGAGGAGCGGGCGGCGGCCGATGCGGAGCGGGAGGGCGAGGTGCGGGCGGAGCCCAATGGGGTGTAAGGTGCAGCCTTGTTTGTGGGTGCGCTCTTCGAGGGTGCTCGGTCCGGGATGTATGGTATGCACACGTGCAGGACAGCAAAGGAAGCCACGCCTGCATTTGGCAAATACCATGCACGGTGTCAGGTGTATAGATCATCAGCAGATCAATCATCACATCCTTCCGAATGACGTAATCCAAAAACGACCTCGACCGCAGGCGTCCTCGAGCGGCGCGCCGCAGCAGTCGCTGTGGCACGCCATGCAGCAGCGCCAGCAGGCCGCGCGCGACGCGGCAGCGCAGCAGCGCGGGGACGACCTCGAGGCGTCGTTCAGCGGCGTGGGCGGCGGCGGTGATGAGGAGCTGTTTGGATTCGATGGAGGCGGCCTGTTTGCAGAGGAGGGTGGGTGCTCGCGCGCGTGAATGTGTGTGTGTGTGTTTGTGTGTGTGTGTGTGTGTGTGTGAGTGTGTGTGTGTGTGTGTGTGTGCGTGTGCATGCATGCATGCGCGGCCTGGGGATTGAGACAATGTCCAGCAAAGCACAGGCTGAGGCAGTGCAAACAACGACGGGAGAGCTGTGTTACGTCAGGAGGTCGTGCAACACGGCTTGGCTGTTTCCGAGGATCCCTTGTGCTGTGGCTGCTTCTGCTGTGTGTCCTCTCAGCACGCATGGGCTCGCCCCGCTGCTTGCATCTGCAAGCTGTTCACATTGTTCTCGCTAAAAACACATCTGCAGGCGAGCACTCCTTTGCGCTCCCGACGATCGCCGACGCGCCGCACGCCGCCGCGCAGCAGCCGGGCGCCGCTGCGCGTGGCACCGCGCGCCGCCAGCAAGCCGCCGCCGCGCGGGGCGGCGGCGGGGGCCGGCCGGAGTCTAGCCCGGAGGTCGTTCGGCGACGGCTAGCGCCGCTCACGAACTCAGATTTGGCGACGTCACCCAGTGCCCCCAGCTTCATGGCGCGCATCGATGCAGCCGGCAAGGGCCGGGCGCAACAGCAGGCCCAGCACGCTCAGCGTGGCGACGGCGCCGCGGGCGCGCAGCTGCGCGCCCTTGCAGGCAAGCCGGACGGCGGACACGGCGCAGAGCCGCCTAGAGCGGCTGCTGCGGTGACGGCGGCGGCGGCGTGTGTAGCCGGCGGTCCTGCGGAGGGAGCGGCGCTTGAGCAGCAGCAGCGGCAGGCCAGGGGGTGGCCGGCTGAGCGGTCGCGGTCAAAAACCCTGAGCTTTAGCAGCCTGCCCCTGCCGCTGCAGCAACTGCTTACGAGCGGCGGCGGCGCCAGCGGCAGGCCTGCGGGGCAGCGAAGCGGCAGCGGCCGCAAGGGCAGCGAGAAGGTGCAGGGCGGGAGTTTGGGCGAGCGGAGAGAGGGTGAGGGCGGGGGCGCAACCATTGAAGGGCTGGTGCAGCTCACAGTCCAGCAGCAGCACCAGCAGCAGCGGCAGCAGCAGCAGCAGCAGCAGCAGGAGCAGGAGCACCAGGATGGTGGCGCAGCTCCAGCGCCTATGGGATACTCATTGGCATTCGGCGACTTCAGCTTCAGCCTCGTGGAACATGGCCCCGCCAGCAATGACGGCGGCAACGGCCGCGGCGGCAGCGGCAGCAGCACGAGCGGCAGCGACAGCGGCAGCAGCAGCGACGGGGACGGCCCCGGCGCGGCCGCGGGCGGCGGCCGCAGGGGAGCTGCTGAGGGCGAGGGCTCAGAGCCGGAAGAGGAGCAGGAGCGCGTAAGCTTGCGCCTGCAGCTGCTGCTCGGGCACCTTCTCACGCTTGCGGCCTCCGGCGGCGCCGGCGCGCCGCTGCCGCCGCAGAGCGTCCCCGTCGTCGCCGGCGCGCTGCGGCGCGCGGGCCTGCTGCCGCGCTGGGTGCACTGGCTGCTGACGCACCCGTCGGCCTCGGCGACGCAGCAGCCCGCGGCGGCGGCTCCGGTAGGCGCAGCCGGGGGCGCGAACGCGCAGCTGGCGGCGGCGGGCGCGGCTTCTGGAAGTTCAGGAGGCAGTGTCGCGGCGGGCCCCAGCCTCGAGCTGTTTGACCGGGCCTTCAGGCGGCTCTTCGCAGATGAGATACGGGAGGCGTCGCGGCCGGAGGCGCTGCCCAAGCCGCCGCCCGCGCAGGCGCTGCAGCGGTTCTGGGACCGGTCGGCGCTCGCGGCCGCCGCCTCACAGCAGCAGCAACCCGCGCAGGCGTCCACCGCCGCGCCTTCGCCCCCGGCCCCGTCCCCGCTCACGCCGCCGCAGCCGCTGGCGTCTCCGCCCCAGGCCGCCGCGGCGTCGCGATACAGATCCGACTTTGTGGAGTTGCGCCGCCTCGGGCGCGGCGGCTTCGGCGTCGTCGTGGCCGCGACCAACCGGCTGGATGGGCGGCAGTACGCGGTCAAGAAGATCCGGCTGCAGCCGGGCGGCTCGGCGGGAAGCTACGGGCGTATCCTCCGGGAGGTGGCGGCGCTGTCGCGGCTGCAGCACCCAAACGTGGTGCGGTACTTCCAGGTGGGAGGTTTTTCTGGGAGGTTTTTGGGAGGTTTTTGGGGCAGGTTGGGGAAGGGTAGGAATGAGGGGAAGCTGTCAAGCCGTGGATGGTGGCAAACAGGCCGGCCCGTGCCTTAAAGAACATCGGGTTCGCCCTTGCTGGGTCGGCCGCGGCCCCGGCAGCGGCGCCATATACGCGAGCTCCATCGGCTGGGTGCTTCGGTACAAGGGCATGCGACGAGGCCTTCAGCGGCGTATCGCGGAGCAATGCAGCCTCCTCTGCCGCCGCTCCCCCCGGTGCGGCACTGCGTATGCCCTCCCGTGGAGATCACACTTCCAAAACCTCCGCCCCGGGCGCCAGGCGTGGACCGAGGCCGCGCAGGGGTCGGAACTGGAAGAGGATGACGAGGACGACGAAGGCAGCGGCGAGTGGGGGACGCTGACGTCAGAGGCGACCACGGAAGCTTCCGCCACCCTCACGTCTGGGCCACGAGCGCCGGCGGGCCGGCGGCGGCTCGGGCGTGGGGCAGGGGCGGCACGGGAGCGGAGCGGCGGGGTGGGGGGCTATGATGAGAGTTCAGGATCACAGAGTGACTCTGAGTCTGGAGAGGAGTCGACAGTGAGTGAGTCTGGTTCGGAGTCGGACGAGAGCGCCAGCAGCAGCGGCAGCAGCGGCAGTGACAGCGATGGGTCAGGCGCCTCGTCGCCCTCCCGCCGCAGCGGCGGCGGGGTCAGCTCCAGCATTGGCTGGG